CCAAAAAATATCTTTCAACGATTGTTTTTGCATTAGCAGTTTTCTCTTCTTGGTGCAGGCTGAATATTTTTGTGTTGCTGTGTTCAGATCGAGAATGCAACCCCAATCTGCTCAGCATCTTCCAGCAGATCACTGCTCCCACAATTTGGCCCCTGGAAACAGAAAACCAGACGGCCGTGGTGATCATCGGAGCCGAGGAACCTGTTCAGACGTCCCCCTACTTACAGTGGTGGGATGCCCAGAGCATCGTGGGGCTGATTATATTCGTTCTGTGCATTCTTTATTCGAGGTAAAAAAATAAATAAATAAATAAACCAATTCATTTCCATGGGAGTTTGCCAGTTAAGGGTAGAAAGCTGTACTTGTCCAGATTGCGAAAAAACAGCTCAACTGTGAACCAAAAAGCATAGTGTGTCCTGAGTGAGCCTGGATGAAACCTAACTTCCTGGTTTGTCAGTGTAGGAAGTTTAGTTTTATAAACTTCACTCATTACAATTTATGAAACTGAAGGAAATCTAAATAAAAGCAAAAAAAAACAAAAAAACATTTGCTATTCAGAATTGATTAATTTGATCCCTTGAAACATGAAATAAAGAACAGTCTGGAAACTCAAACATCTGTTCAGACTCACTTCTCATTTTTCCATACTTGCATAAAGTATGGATTGACTTGTTTTGGACTCAAATGACTGTAAACAGAAGAACATTAGATGCAGAGGTTATTGAAACGGATGATGTTTCACCCCGTAGCTGTCCTGGCCTGTTTGGTTAGGTTAGGCCTGTTGAGGTTACTGTAGGTGTTTTTATGTTTGTTTTTTTTAGGAAAATATGAAAATATCTCACCTCTGCAGCAAACAAATTGCTATAAAGAATGTGTATCAATGAATGTTTGTTGCTTTTAAACTGTTTCATAGTTTGTTTAAACTTGTGCTTTGGTGTGACCAGGTTGTCGTATGTTGCATATTTCTGCCCAAGTCCCTTTTGAAAATGAGATCTGGCTCTCAATGGGGTTTTACCTGGTTAAATAGAGGAAATTAAAAAAAAATTAGATAATTTATTGTGCCCACCTTACTTGGCTGTGTGGCAGTTTGACTCCAAACAAGGTGAACAATCTACAAGAAAGCTGGAACATAATACGTCGTCGTGCTGTTATGTTACAAATAATCGTGGTCGTGAAATATTTCAGACACCGATTGTCACCGATATCTCTTGTCCGCAGCATACGCTCCTCCAACACGAGTCAGGTGAACAAGTTGACCATGGCCTCCAAGCAGTCGGCTGTCCTCAATCAGGGGTCCAGCAGCAGTGGCATGTTGGAGGACTCCCAGGGGCCCAGGCGGGTGGAGGACAATGAGCAAGACATGGTCCAGTACAGCTACTCCTTCTTCCACTTCATGCTCTTCTTGGCTTCCCTCTACATCATGATGACACTCACCAACTGGTACAGGTCAGTGACCCCTGCACTCTTAAACATTTAGCTCAACTTTAAAGTTTTCATTGGGGACAGTTTGTTCACCTGTTATAGAAATATGTCTCATTAGAAAAATTAGTTTTTTGTGTGTGATTCTCCTTTTCACAGCCCAGACGCAGACTACACCATAACAAGCAAGTGGCCAACAGTGTGGGTAAAGGTCTCCTCAAGCTGGTTGTGTTTGGCCCTTTACATTTGGACCCTTGTGGCCCCTATGATTTTCCCCAACCGAGACTTCAGCTGATGCTGTGACAAGGGACAGAATCATTTCTTGTGGAAATGGACCTGGAACGGCTGAACTGTTTTTATTTGTAGAGAATTGGTGATCAGGTTGTGTGCCAAAACATAATGTATAGATAGACAAGCAATCCACGGAAACATCTGCTGTGTGATGTACAGCTTGGGGTTCTCCTTATGTACAATGTAAATAGTGTATCTCTGCATGACGCATTTCTTTTACATATATATATATATATATACTTGTGTTTTTGACCTTAAAATAAGAAGTACGCTGCTCTTAGGGAAGACAAACCCAGAAATATGACATGTATTTTTGAACAGCTTAACATACACCAAAGAGAGAATAGAGTCTAACAAGGGGATAATAACCCAGAAGTCAACACAAGAGCCTAGTGGCTTCCTGTAGTCAAGAAGGCAACGCGTGATGCTTTCTGCCCACTACAACGCAGGTGTTACTCAAGGCCGTGGGACTGAGTCCATTCCCTCGCTCCCGTCCTTCCAGACTGCTTCAAACTAGTTTATGAAATCAGAAACATGCAGGAGTTTCTGAGATCAGAAACATGCAGGAGTTTCTGAGATCAGAAATATGCAGCATACAAAATATTCTATCCCAGACGTGAGAACGAGTTTATCAGCCGCCTGGTGCATTCCACAGAGCTATCACTCCCTAAACTGCCTGAGACTTTGCCACACAGAGCTCTCCCCACCTCTTTTATGAACCTGCACTGAGTTAAAATAGAAGGTTTAATGACCTGAGATTAACACACATCCCAACATATATTATGCAAGATTTCCCACTGAAAACTTGCTAAGCCCGATGGTTGGGCACCTGGTCAGTCATTCGTCCAGCGGCCCGTCGTGGTTTTGAGTTAAAAATGTTTAAGGTAGACAGGAATTTTGAAAATATCACTTGATAATTATGTATTATTGAAAGATTGGTATATTAATACTTGAGCACCAACTATAAAGCCTTAAAAAATGCAAAACTTTTGAAAAGACTTTAAAAATAAGCAATGCTTACCTTGGTGGGGGCACAAGTAAAGCCTGGTGGCCCGCCAGGCTTATAATACACTGGGAGAAACCCTGGTATGCTCAAGATTTTTCTTATTAATTTTTGTTTATATATATTTATATATATATATATATATATATATATATATATATATATATATATATATATATATATATATATAATCTAGAAACATTTTCAAATGAATGTATGTGGCCTACACTCTTTTAATAATGTGATCTAACATAAAGCACTGATTATACTAATTTTGATTAAATCGTGGAATATTACATCTAATTTAAAATGTTCTAACAATTAGACTATACATTGATTAAATCGTGAGTGCAAACAAATTAAATTGAGACCTACTAAAAACAATGATACCCAACAGACTGGAATGTTCAGTCAGCTGCTGTATTTTTAGTTTTGTGAGATGAGAAAACCATTTGTGTAGATGTTAAGAGAAATATATTTTCGTTAACAGCTTTATATTTCTGCAGGGTTTATAACTCATTTATGTACTCAATGCCCATGTAAACAGACATGGGGTCTTATGGAGAAACCCTCACAGGAGTGATATTTATCATTTGTATGATTATTATCGATAATAATAGAAATGATTTTTGTCAACTATCTGTGAATGATAATTTGACAATTGTTTATTAACCTAAAACACAAGAATATTGCATCATTAAAACAAATGTTTTGATATTCCAATGTTTATTGAGTGATCTTTGATAATTTTTTTTCCTTTTCAGTGATTTGACTGTCAAGTTATTGCACTTGAATCAGTCAAAATATCCTATATACCTCTGTAGATGTGATAAAGTTTAACTAATAATGAATTCCAAGGGAAACTATTAGTAAGTAAAGTTTATTTTATTTGCATCCTGCAAACCAGGAATTTGACTTTAAGACTCCTGCTTGTTGAACACCCAGACTTTATTCCATGTTAATCAAATTTATGCTCTTTGAGGATGAGTCTGTAATTGGATCAAAAGGTGTGGAAACTTTTATCCATGGTCTTAACACACAGGTCCTATCAATTTCTGTGGAACAATAAACAGAGGGAACCTAAACTTGCAATGTAAGTGAAAAGAAGCATTAATAACTTGCAACATTTTATTGACAAGTCTGTTTATTTCATTTATAGCACAACATACAGAATAATAGCTTCACCCTGTCCAATCGCTGACCACTCGTCTCAAACTCAAAGTAAGTGTTTGTCCTTCATGATCACCCCACCATGGACCTCTTCCTCCCTCTCAGCCGTACCTCGTCAAGCTTTTTGATGACTGCCGCCGACATCTTGGAGGTGGCAGCGTAGCTCTTTAGCAGCTTCTCAAACAAAATGTCTGTGTTGGGGTGAGTACTGAGAAAGGCCTTCTCCAGGACAAACAGATCCACACCCTTGTCCTCGGGCAAAGCCGAAATGTAACTCAGGCCGAAATCGATGAAGACGAGCTCCGGTTCTGTGGCCTCTAGCCCGCGCATCAGCAGCATGTTGGAGGTAGTCAGGTCGCCGTGGATGACGTTCTCATCATGCATTTTGGCTAAGATCTGACCGACTCTCTCAGCTAGCTCGTGGAGACCTAGGTCCGTGCCGGAGTCGCTCCGCTGAACGGAGTTGATGTGGTCACGCAGAGTTGAGGAGCGAACGATTTCCTCCAAGAAGATGCAGTGGTTCTTATAGTCCACGAAGTAGACAGCTGGAGCCGGAATACCTGATGAGGAAAAATAAAACATGGTCAAGTAAATTTACATCAGTCTGTAAAAAATAAGAAACACCAAACCAATATCGGTTTCTAAACAAAATTCAAATTTTGATAGTTTTTGGGGTTCTTTTGTAAAACTATTTAAAAAATATAAATATAAATTCATATAATATAGAACTCAAAATATTGGACAAGATTTTGAGTTCACTGTAAGAAAACAAAAGCTTACAGTGAATTTTCTTAAGAAAAGTTCATTTATGAAAGACAGCAACCTAAGAGGTTTATGTGTTGCCATGTTTCACACATATGTCTAAGTTTAATAAGGTGAGAGAAGAAATTCAATTGTTTTTTTTTATTGAACATATAAGACATTTAGCCCTTCTCGTTATGAAAAGACAGTCAGCCATCTTGATACAATAGAAAACTCAGGTTCACAGGAGAATGACTGCTTATCAATGAATAAATAGTCAATTGATAAGATCAATCAACTTTAGATGAACTCAATCAATACATGGATGTTTACCTGGAAGTTATTGTTTTTTTGTTGTTTGTCTACTTGTTTTGACTAACTGTTATGCAATTTATTTATTTGGGCAGAGACCAAGTACATTTCATTAACTTTTTAAAAGAAGAGATGCATGATACCAGGTTATGGGGAAAACACTAATTTCCTCCTGCAGTTCCCGGACAGGCTGATGTAATAAAATATGATTTAACAGATCATGGTTTAAAAGCCAGTACATGCAAAAAATGGGTGTAATCAATTACGTACATATTTGTTAAGTCATTCAGATCTCATTAAAATCAAAAATCAACCACACCAAGCTACAGACCAATAGGCAATTCATAAAAAATGTATTTGCCTTCATCAACAATAAGTACAAATCTGCTTATTTAACAGACATTTGCCAAATGACTAGAACTTTGTTGATGGTTCTTAAGGGAACTACTGCGTTACGAAGGGACTAAACACATGATATGAAAACATCGCTGCATGCTTTTATTATTATTATTATTATTATTATTATTTTATAAATAAACACTGGTGAATGTCTGTCGAACTTCACCAAGAACCTACCTGCTTTTCTGCAGCGCAGGATGGAGCGGACCTCATGAGCTGTTCTGCGAGAGTTCAGCTTGTCGTCCAGCTCTGGATGTCGGTAGAGTTTAGGAAACCTTTCTTTGATTATTGTCGGCTTTCCTAAGAACTCTGTCCGATACAAGCGAGCTTCCGCTCCTTGTTTGATCAACTCCGCCTTAGAGAGAAACTGTGGGACCGCCATGTCACTCCACTGAGTCCACTCAACAGAGAATGTTTTTCCTTTTTCTTCTTCTTCTTCTGTCTTTATAGCGGTTGGCAAGCAACGTTTCGATGTGTATTTTCGCCACCCACTGGAATGGAGTGGTATGAAGGACCAAAACTAAAAATAAAAGCCGAAATATATATATTTTGTTTTAATTTTTCCTTACACACCCTTTTTCATCAAGAAATTTATATACATTTGTTTCGCCTTGTATGTTACTTTTGTCTTATTTCAAGTGTACTAAAATATTTGCACTAAAACTTAAGTCAAAAATACTTGGTAAGATTTTGTGTTTTTGCAGTGTTCCAAATTTTTTTGTGTTAATCTGTAATATTACAACCTCTTTTCAGGAAAAAAAACTTTCTATCCCATTTACTTGCACTGAGATTATAACACATGTGAAAACCCTTTACCTTCTGCCTTGGCTGGTAAATTCAGAAGAAGCTGTGAACTGTGTTTCAGACCAATCAGAATGCCTCAAACTGCAACACCAACAAAAGGTTTAAGCGGACATTATTAGCTAATGTCCGCTTTGGTCTGTCACATCTAATAAACTATCGATTAACAACTAATTGTAAGTTGATTGTTTGTATCACTAATACATTTTTTGTTCATTTGATCCACCAGTAGCTGGGATTTCACATTTTCTGCCGCTTTTTCACTGCCACGTTTTTGTAATCTGTACAGGATGTAATAAGGTTCCGGTGCACGCAGAACTAGAGGAACTCATTTTCTGGCCTCGTTTACCACAAAGTTGTTAAAATTTCAGCTTCGCTTCGGTTCACACTGAAGTTAAAGGACTTAATCCCAGACGGCGCATTGAAGAGAGATGAGAAATGAGCAGAATTACATATTGCCAGGTTCTCTCATTACTATCACTTGTAAGAAGCTATCACTTCTTACAGATAAAAACTAAAATAAAAAAATGGATATTATAATTAAATATTGTCAGCTAGTTCATCTTGGGAAAGACTGCTGACTTGACCGATATCCAGAAGACGTCATTGACACTCTACCCAAGGAGAGGAAGCCTCAAGGGGCATCGCTAAAGAAACAGAATCCCAACCAAGTTATCAGACAAATAAAACATTTATTTACACAGACACACTTTAGAATACTTGCCTTCTCTGTCAATGTATTCCATATGTATGTATATTGCGCATGTTCTGACTTATTGGAAAAGAAAAAAAAAAAAAGTTAAATCCAGCAGGTTTGGAAAGTTCCTCATTGCAAGCACTCGTCAAGCGTGGTTTCACCTCACAGCTTCTGTTGTGTTGGTGGAAGCCAATCATCTGACCAAACGACATAAAGGAGTTTTGACCAGCGGTCAGTAGAAAAGGATTATCGTTTCACAGGCAACAGAAAGACGTTGTGTAAAAACTCAAATTAAATATGTGTTTCTTCAGTCTCGCCTTCCAACTAACGGTAAACTTTGGTTAAATCTTGACGTGAATCAAGTTAGTCACTTGAAATCATTCAATGAGTTGAAAGCAGCACGTTTAAGAAAGAGGTCGTTTGAAAACGTGGAAGAGCCGTGGATTCTTGAGAGAGAAGAACAAATCTCGATCTGACAAAGCAGACTGCAGGCAAATCGGTCAGAAAAACTGAGATGCTGTCGGATCCCCGCCTCTCTGGCTGCACTGAGGACAAAGTCCAACACCCAAAAAAAACATTTGTTATTGTATTTGTTGAATCTCAAGTGAAAATGCGTAATAAACATTTTTAATGTTTAGCAATTAAAAAAAAAACAACTGAGTGAAAGGTAAATTGACACGTTGTACACCTTCCCCATCTCTTTGCTTCATGTCACAAAGAGATGGACTATATGGCATGGTGATTCTCCTTAATTATGGAGTTAAATAATGTGGATTATTAATTAAACTGTATAGAATGCGCTCCAGGTGGTCCTAAAAACACTTCCATCTTCTTGTCTGGTCACTGCTGGTCTTTTGGACCAACACAGACTCATAGTAAAGGTCACAGTCAGAATTGTGACCACAGATGTTATAAACAACACATGCTCTTGGACTCAATGCTCTGAATGTCAAAATAATCCTAGGGAGGTACTAATGTACATTTTTGAGACAAAATTTCATCTCAGGTATAAAGTTAACATTTTGGATCTTACTGGAGAAGTAAAAAAAAAATTAACCTAAACAAAACAAGAAAAGCGATTTAAAAAAAATAAATAAAAGAAAGGTGGCCTCCTGTTCAAAGGGTTATGTGGCGAAAGGGTATGTGGAGCAGCAGCTGTCCGCTTTGGCCCTTTCCACATTCGGGCAGAGTCATGCTGGACTGAAGATGGAGAGGTTACGCTGGCTGTCATTGCGGAGCAGCGGCAGCGGCCGCCGGGCTGCTCATGGCGTTTGTGTTAGCCGATAAGACGGTGGAGCCGCTGAGAGGGCCGAGGGCAGTGGAGGCTGGCAAGGCAGAGATACCTAACATGGAGACAAGCAGGTAAAAAGTGGGCAAAACGACAGTAAACAATATCATGGTAGACTAGAAGCTGTTGATAGTCTGCTAAAGCAGAAACAGGAGCTGCGCAAAGCTTTGTCTCTATTCTGCTAACGTCGAGAAGGGAAAAAAAAAAAAAACAATTTCGCAATTTCAGTGTTTCCGTTAAATAAGACTTGAAAATAAAATCACACGTCCTTAAGTTAGTTCACGCAATAAATCTTTAAAAATCATGGCAGCGACGGATGTTAGTTACATAAGATATTCATAACTCAGCCAAGGCGCCAGCGCTCATCATCCATCAGAGACGTCGGCGTCTTATTCCGGCGACTGAGCGACAAGCCCCGCCTACTTGGACCGGCTAAGTATGCGGCGTTTCGGGGGAATTATAGTCTGTGATTTTAGATACGAGCTACGGATTCAACACGCTGGAATGACACAGTTTATTTTTTTGTAAGCCGTTGGAGCCAGCCGCACATTGTCTGAAAAAAAAAGCAAAAACAAACAATTACAATACACGAAGAAAACTACTTCCTGTCTTCTTCTTCGTGGTTTTTGCCACGAAGTAACGTCCGGCTGTTGATCACGTGACTCGTGTGGCCCGAAAGAAGTGTTTGTATTATATCCATTTCGGTAACGGTGAAAAACCACCTTCTCCCAATGCAACAACTTTTTGTCGAAAAACATGTTGTTGTTGTTTTTGTTTTCAAAATTGCCGTGTTTCTATTAAGCAAATTTATTTTCCGAATTTCAATTTGCGCAGTTCTATTATTTACGGAAACGCAGCTACTGTGGAATTGCAAGTAGAAAACTTCCCGTTCATTCCCGTATATTGCACTGTATCATTTTCCATCTTCTCCCTTTGCCTCACAGACCGGATTTTATGCAGCAATGGTCAAATTTCTCAGTTTAAAAACTGTAAAATATCTTTGTCAGATTCCACCTATTCTACTTGAAACGAAGAGAAACTTTAAGATATGTTGAACCTGGTAATGAACCGGAATAATCAAGGGGAACAGCAATGACAAATTATAAAACTCCTCAACTTTTCATCCCGCAGTCGGTCGTAGCAGATGGCCACTCATACTGAATTGAATTGAACTGAAGTTTGATACAGAAAAATTAGGAAAGCCTTTTTCAGAAATGTGACAATAAGAGTGAAGCATGTCTCCTCACCAGTAACCATGCTGGCTGCAGTAACAGCAGGGTTACCGCCTGGCAAGTTGGCTGATCCAGCCATACAAGACTGCTCCTTCACAATGGAGACTGTGAACAACAAGCGATATAAATGAAAAAAATAGTTTGTTTTTTTTTTGGTTATGTTTTGTTTTATTAATCCCACTCTCATTGTGGATTAAAACTGCACCCTGGGACTCTTACAGAAGTACGGGTGGTCCATTGCCTCGCGGGCGGTCACTCGGGCCTGGTGGTCGTAGCGCAGAAGCTTGTCGAGGAAATCCAGAGCCTCGGCGCTGACCAGGTGCTGATTCTCGCTGTGGACGAAGCGCTCCCACCGTTTACGAGAATGTCTGCAGGGAAACAGAAACAGCTTTCAAACAGACTGTCCTGCTATGATTAAATTATCTTAAGGAAACTGATTTTATACACTGCAAAAACACAGAATCTTAAGTACTTTTGGTCTAGTTTTTAGTGTAAATATCTTAGTCCACTTGAA